CTGAAAAGGCTGATGCGTGTGCAGATTTGTCTGAAAAATATAAAATTGCAAGATGATAGGATAAACTATTATTGTTCCGACGAAATAAAAAGAAAATGTTTCATAAATATTTCATTGTACACTTTTCCAAACGCCCATAGAACTTGCCATGTTTAAGTCTCGACCACAGTTTACATCCGTAGGTCGCCCAGGCGAGCCAGCGTCTTACCCACTTGCCCGCGGTATGAATAAGACTAAATAAGTGAAATAACAGTATATTTGGAAACTTGTAGTAATAAAAGATCCTGGAATTCGTCGCTACTTTTATTTTTCTTTTGTAATGTGATCTCAGTTAAAAACACCTTAATTAGTTTAATTAAAATAATCACGAAAAAACTTACCCTGTGAAGCGATATATTTGTTTGCTATGTCGCCATATCCCTAGATAAAAAAAAACGATATATGATAAATATCGGGCCACTTAAGTAACAAGAACCCCGCCCACCATCAACTGATCTTATTAGCAGAATTCCGCTGCACAATTGTTGATAGAAAAATGAAATTTCCTATATTCTGCTGTGACTCGGCTAATGAAGACAGGCATACGGCACACAATTAGCTATGAGGGACATTTTGCGGCACTAAGAACTCCTCTTATATCCAATTTCAACTGCCAAGGCGTTTTTTTACGTACACACCAATGTATGCACGGGACCTCGCTTTTTTTTTCGTTCAATTCGAAAAACTTGACAGCCGCTCCAGTAAGGCCCCCCGTCCTGCACCACTGACAAGGGGAGAATCACAATATTGATAAAAGTTATTTAATAGCTGGTAAAATCGTGTTCTTGATGAAAATTTGAGAAGGTAAACCCAAAGCATGTTCTATAAAACTGTTCAGTAAATAACTAATAACTTACAGTTATATAGCAAGCATTGATGTAATCAGAATTAGGGTCATCGTTTTCTACGTCCAGTTTAACTCGTGAATGATCAACTATAACAAACCATATCAACATATAACGTAACATTTGTATGGAAATAAAAAACAGTTAGGAGATGTACACTTTCTTTCTGTTTTCGAATTTAAAGTGGTGTCATTATGAACTCATTACATGCATTAGAACCAATGACCAGTTTCACGAGGTGAACATATCGCTACGAATGGCGACGACCGTGGTTTCATTTCGCTTTTCAGGAACGACCAGTTACACTGCCTTTGAATAATTAAAGATACATTATGGAAGATTAGGTAAAGAGTTAGCAGTTCTAACTATAATAGTTAAAGACTAGATAATGTAAAGGGAATATGCTGAAAATTTCAGTCAAATTGAACCTTATTTTAAAATCGCTTTAGCCTCAATTGTCATTGTTACTGCTGTCACGATAATTAACAATGTCTCGATCATCCATTTTTGCGGTTAATCATCAATGGGCGTTCAACAGCAGATCGGATTCAAATCCAATGAAAATCGGACACATAAGATGGCATCGAGAGTTGATTATGGCGTTTCCATGTTAATAAATGTCTAATTAATAGTTTTGATAACATTTCAGACCTAAAGGAAGATCTGCAAAATGGCGGATTGCCCTCTTGTATAATGCATGTTTAAGTCAAATTTAGTTGCAACGAATCTTTGCTGAAAATTACTTACAAGCACATATGTTCTTGTATCTGTTCTTCGGCTTATTAACAACATTCATACAATAATCATATGCTGCACATAGTCCACTTGGAAGGGTCTGTAAAACGAAAGAATACTATTTTTATCCACCCGATTAGATTTTATTACATACTTCGAGAAGGTATTTGTTGAGTAATAAAACCTTCTAGTAGTTTATCGAGGGTTGGCCGTCCTTACCGCACGGTACAAATACTAGAAGCAACAAATTCCAGAACAAGCCAGAACTCATACCAAAATGGCCGCTTTATACAACTGAGTATTTAGGGGAATACTAACCCGAACCCTAACCCTAACCCTATAAAGAGAAGTAAAAACTAAATTAGACCCAAGTTCAGTCTTTTAAAAAGGGTTAGGGTTAAGGTTCGGGTTAGTTATTTCCAAAATTCTCATTTATATAAAGCGGCCATTTTGGACTCCGGAAACACCCGAACCTCGATAAACTACTAGAAGGTTTTATTACTCAACAAATACCTTCTCGAAGTATGTAATAAAATCTAATCGGGTGTTTTATCTGATCTATTATCAATTTGTAATAATTATAGAAGTTACTTTTTTATACGGAGGCGGGATTGGATGGCAGAATGGCGCGCTGCCAATGAGTCAAGTGGTGTGCTTTTGATACCCCGCTTGTACGTGACAAGGAGTGGGCTCGCCTGTCCAATCTCGTGGGTTTTCTCCGGTTACCTCCCACTGCTTAAGACCCCTACGCGCAAGCGAATTATTGAAATAAAATTAAACCACTCCCGATATGACCTAGTTTCTGTCGATTGGATGATAAATCCCCTCACTCTCTCTCTCTCTCTCTCTCTCTCTCTCTATACATACGGAAAACAGAGAATACTAAAATACGTAAAATAACACGCACCTCAAATTCAGCTTTCAGCGATTCTTCCTCAGCCTTTCGTTGTTTGATATATTGAAGCAGATTTTGTAGCTGAATACGTGTAGAAGCAGCAGTGGGTTCATCATCATTGACATAAACTTGTGCTGCCTCATTGTCCTCTTCTGCTAGTAGATTGGCATATGTATTAACTTCGATTTTAGGTTTTTGGCCTACTGTTGATATAAATGTTTGTATAAAATGAAATGAAATGAAATATACTTTAACATCCTACTGTACTGTTCTGCTCCGAACTGGGTTTATGAAGATGGGCATATGCCATATAGTGTGCTCAATGGGAAATTTTGCCCGGACACCGACACTACTCTTATATCGAATTCCAACTGTCAAGGGATCTTTTACGTGCACGCCAATGTGTACACGGGACCTCGTTTTTTCGTCCCATCCGAACGACGCCGGAAAATCTGAATGAACTAGGCCAATGCAGGGATCGAACACCCGACCTCCAGTCTGGCCAGCTAGCGTCTTACCTACTTAGCCACCATGACCCCCCCCCCCCCCTTGTTTGTATAAACAAAATTCGAGAAAAATTGTTGACTTTTGCCCCAGCAGACAATGAGTTATTGTTTACATTAATTATAAGTAAACGTAAATATATCAGAGTATTATCTTTAATTATAATTAGTTTTATTATGGCAAATAAACATTCGAGCCTTAATATTGGTTCACTTATCTTATTATATTAATCTTTCCCGAAATCTTTTCAGTGCTTTCTGTGTTTTGAAGCCTCAAGCGAATTCACATTACGGACAACCATAATTGCTGTTATAGTTATAAACAAGATAACCAACCTTTAGAAAACGAATCGCTTTTGGTTAGACTTGAATCTAGAGGCAAATGGGTGACTTCAAGTTGGTTAGATTCCACATATTTCTGTCGTCTGAAAATACATTAGAAAATATTAATGCCTTCGATAATTCGTTTTAGTAAAACATGTAGCTTAGGAAACAGAAAACAACGTACGTGTGTTCGATTAAATGTTAGTATACAAAATCTATAAAATGAAATGTGATTTAACGTCCCACTGTTCTGCTCCTACTGGGCCCACGAAGACTGGCATACGCCATACAGTGTGCTATGAGAGAAATTCTGCCCGGGAAGCGGCACTATGGCCTACTCTTATATCGAATTCCAACTGCAAAGGGATCTTTTACGTGCACGCCAATGTATACACGGGAACTCGGTTTTTCGTAACATCCGAATGACTAAACAATTGTCCTTGTCAGGCTCACCGTCCTGCACTACTGACAAGGGGAAACCACGTCGGAAAATCCCGATGAACTTTCTTGGCCTTAAATAAATAAGAACAATAACAAATTTGTTGGGGTGCTGATTGACATGTAGAACCTACCTTCTGTGTCTTACAACCAAAATAATAACAACACCAATAATCGCGATAACAACCAACGCAGCAACAACAGATACTATTATAGTAGCTTGTACTGCAATTATAGAATACAGATGACATATATATCCTGTTAGGAAAAGAAACCTACTCCCACTAGCATTCATCCCTATTACTATTTAATATTTACAAATTGCTGCTGTACATGCAGTAGAGACCTTAGCTAAATCCTGTAGGGGCAATCAGTGAGGAATAAGCACCAAAAACACATCTTATCAAATAAAACTCTAACACTATGTCTACGTTCCTTAACTGCTGTAAACATTACTACCTGCTTCCTCTTTCTCATGGCAAGTTGGTCCTTGAAAGCCATCTGCACAGCCACCTTCACATGTACCATCCGATATATTACATGGTCTATTCTTGACACAGTTACCACATTCCTTTGTACAATTGTCACCATACATCCCCGGTTCACAATCTATAAATACACGATCAACAGTGTCGAATTATTGTAGAAATATTGCTATAAATTGTCCTCGATGTTACCGAGTGTTCAAAGTCATTCATACAAAAATACAGATTCATTCAGTTAGTTAAAAAAAATCGTCCAATTAAAAATATTTAAAATCATTATATTTGTCACGTCTATTCAAAATAAAAATAACAAAAGTCTGACCAACCATAATTATATGTTGTAATGCACATCTAAAAGACGAGATGTTTAAACAATATGATATAAAATATTGTTTAGCAGGATATGTATTTTAAATAACGACGGAAGAGTAAACAAATAACTGTAACTGAAGAATATTTGCCAATAAATTTATGTATCGAGAAGAAATTTTCAGGTTCCTTGGACTAATCGACAAATATATTCATTGATAGAAAATCGGGTGATGTAGTATATACATTAATTTACCTGTTGTACAGTTAGGTCCTATTTTACCAGGTAGGCATCCATTGATACAATTTCCTGACTGCTGACCACATAAACCATCCTTACAGTTAGACGGGCAATCTTTATTACAATCCATACCATAAAATCTTGTTTTACATCCTTCAGTACATGATCCAATTGTTATATTACATTTACCAACAGTTGTACCTACTACTGGTTTACAGTTAGTATTACATAGTTTACTACATGATGATCCCCATCTTCCATCTTTACATTCAGTACAGGAGCTAGAGTCATCCTGATTACAAACAGTACAATTATTAGTACAGTTGATATCACACCTTTCTCCAGTTTTACCTTTAATACAGTTAGTGCATGCACCAGAACTCCTATCACATCCACCATCACATCCTGTACTACAGTTCATATCACATGTATAACCATATCTTCCTATAATACAGTCAGTACATTCACCATTTCTATCACATCCACCATCACATCCTGTACTACAGTTCATATCACAATCATTACCATGTCTTCCTACAATACAGTTAGTGCATGCACCAGAACTCCTATTACATCCACCATCACATCCTGTACTACAGTTCATATCACATGTATAACCATATCTTCCTATAATACAGTCAGTACATTCACCATTTCTATCACATCCACCATCACATCCTGTACTACAGTTCATATCACAATCATTACCATGTCTTCCTACAATACAGTTAGTGCATGCACCAGAACTCCTATTACATCCACCATCACATCTTGTACTACAGTTCATATCACATGTATAACCATATCTTCCTATAATACAGTCAGTACATTCACCATTTCTATCACATCCACCATCACATCCTGTACTACAGTTCATATCACAATCATTACCATGTCTTCCTACAATACAGTTAGTGCATGCACCGGAACTCCTATTACATCCACCATCACATCCTGTACTGCAGTTCTTATCACATCCATCACCATGTTTTCCAACAATACATTCAGTACATTTACCAGTTCTATCACATGTTGTGTGGTCTGTTGTTGGTTGACACCCTGTACCACAAGTAATGTTACAGTATGAACCAGCTGTATTAGGTTTACAGTCAGTACATCTACCATCCATCTTACCACACCCTCCGACACAATTATCAGGACACTGAGATTCACAGTTTGTACCATACCAGCCTTGGTTACATTCAATACATGATGAACCGTCTTGTTGGCATGATCTACAGTTACCTGGACATGATGTTTGACAGTAAGAACCTTTATAACCACCAACACAACCATCTGTACATTGTGGTTGTGAAAATGAAGGATTGGTATAACATTTACTGCCTCTACAGTTATTACTACACGGTGATGTACATTTATCACCATAATATGTAGCTATACATACACATTTCCCGTCCATTTTATTACACATTTTGTTTTGACAACCATCACTACACTGAGATTCACAGTTTGTACCATACCAGCCGCCTTGGTTACATTCATTACATGATGACCCGTCTTGTTGGCATGATTTACAGTTAGCAGGACATGATGATTGACAGTAGGAGCCTGTTTTATCATCAACACAGCCATCTGTACATTGTGGTTGTGAAGATGGAGAAGTGATAGAACATGTACTGTTTGTACATTTATCACTACATAGTGATATACATTTATCACCATAATAACCGTTCTTACACCCATCAGTACAAACACCAGTAGTGTGATTACATTTATCATTAAGGCACGTATTACAAGGTTGACATTTTTCACCATAATAACCGTCTTTACATCCATCAGTACAAACACCAGTATCAGGATCACATTTATCATTAAGACATTTATCACAAGGTTGACATGTAGAACTTGATGTACTGTAGTAACCAGTATTACATTGTATTGGATCTGTAATATAGATTATACATGTATTATTATAATATGTATTACAAGGTTGACATGTAAAAGTTGATGTATTGTAATATCCATCATTATATTGTACTTTAATTAGATAACTTGCAATTATCTTATCATTATTTATAGGTCTATTATTTTATCATTATTTATCTGTCTATTTATAATACTCTATTTAGTTAAATATGGTGCGGTTCTCCTACAGATTCTATTGGTAACAGTCCTATGGATATGTGTTAAAGGGGCTAAACATCTAACTCATAATATTCCAAGTCATAAACACGAATTAGAATTCAATACAGATCCATTTCAATCAATATTGATATTGCTATCTTACCGTAAAAATATGGAATAATTTATATTTAAGACACAATGAATATTTCATAATCAGTACACGAGTCGTGTATTCTATGGTTTCGGGAGTCATTTGTAATAAACAAAGGAAACATATGCGGAAGTAATTAGTAAATGGCTGATTCACAAACGACAAAATAATAATAATAAAACGTGAACAAGAGCATCGCTAACGCTGCAATATACGTCCACATTCCAGCTTTGATTGATATGGTACTTTTTAAAATTAAGAGAATGAAATATGAAATGGCTGTAATATGACCAGAGGCAAAGAAGGCTAGGCGTTGGGGTTGTTTTGCCAAATTTACAGACAAAATACTACAAGAAAGTGGGTGTGACACTGCCCCAGGAGGTCGGGGCAAGCATCAAAATAAATATTTGCCGTCTTTACGGTATAAGGAATAAATATGCAAAGTTCCAAGATGATCCATTCAGAATTGCAGCCTGTAGACGATAAATACAAAAAATGGGCGCGGCTCTGCCCGTATGGGGGTTGGATATGGAAACAATATAAATAGGTACCACCCTGTTATCAAAATGTCAACATCAATAGTTACCGTCCTTAGGGTATAAGGAATAGGTATACCAAGTTCCATGGCTCTGCCCTTGGGGGTTGGATATGGAAACAATATAAATAGGTACCACCCTGTTATTGAAATGACAACATCAATAGTTGCCGTCCTTAGGGTATAAGGAATAAGGATACCAAGTTCCAAGATAATCCATTCAGAATTGTGGCCTTTGGGCTCTCGAGGCAAAAATTGTGCATGGCTCTGACCCTGGGGGTTGGGCAATCACCGAAAAACAACAGGGGGCATCCTTAGGGTATAAGGAATAGGTATGCAAAGTTTCAAAAGGATCTGTTAAGAATTGCGGCCTGTAGGCGACACAAAAGGCACACAAACATTGGGCGTGGCTCTGTCCCAGGGGGTCGGGCATGTACAAAAAATAATAGAGGTCAGCCTTAGGGTATAAGGAATAAGTATAAAAAAGTTTTCAAGATGATTAAGCATTGCAGGCTGTGACATACAGACACACAAAAAAAAAATGGGAGCGGCTCTGTCCCCGGGGCTTGGCATTCACCACAGGGATGTTCCTTAGGATAGAAGGAGTAAGTATGCAAAGTTTCAAGGTGATACGTTAAGAAATGCGGTCTGTAGATGACAAACAATGAATACAAGAAATGGGCGTGGCTCTGCCACTGGGGGTCGGGCATGCACCAAAAACAATAGGGATCATCCTTAGGGTATAAGGAATTCATATGAAATTTTTTCAAGACTATTAATTAAGAATTGTGGCCTGTAGGCGACACACAGACACAAAAAAAGAAAATGGGTGTGGCTCTGCCCCTGGGGGTTGGGCATGCACCCCAAATGATAGGGATGTTCCTTAGGGTACAAAGAAGTATGCAAAGTTTCGAGATGATAAGTTAAGAAATGCGGCCTGTAGACGACAAACAAACAAATACAAGAAAGGGGCGTGGCTCTGCCCCCTAGGGATCGGGCATGCACCAAAAACAATTGGAGGCATCCTTAGGGTATAAGGAATAAGTATGTAAAGATTCAAGATGATCTCTCAGAATTGTGGCCTGTAGGCGACACACAGACACAAAAAAAAAGAAAATGGGCATGACTCTGCCCCTGGGGGTTGGGTATGCACCCCAAAATGATAGGGATGTTCCTTAGGGTACAAAGAATAAGTATGCAAAGTTTCAAAATGGTATGTTAAGAAATGCGGTCTGCAGACGACAAACAAACAAATACAAAAAATGCACCAAAAACAATAGGGATCATCCTTAGGGTATAAGGAATAAGTATACAAAGTTTAAAGAAAATCGAGTAAGAATTGCACCCTGTAGGCGAACCACAGACAGACACACATACATACATACACAGGCAGGGGCGACGGCATAATACTTCACATTATGAATGCTCACGTATAACTAGAAATGGGCGTGGCTCTGCCCCTGGGGGTCGGGCATGCACCAAAAACAATAGGGATCTTCCTTGGGGTATAAGGAATAAGTATACCAAGTTTGAAGAAAATCCAGTAAGAATTGCGCCCTGTAGGCGACACAAAGACACACGAAAAGAAAATGGGAAATGGGCGTGGCTCTGCCCCTGGGGGTTGGGCATGTACCCCAAACGATAGGGATGTTCCTTAGGGTACAAAGAATGTGTATGCAAGATTATAAGTTAAGAAATGTGGCCTGTAGACGACAAACAAACAAATACTAGAAATGGGCGTGGCTCTGCCCCTGGGGGTCGGGCATGCACCAAAAACAATAGGGATCTTCCTTGGGGTATAAGGAATAAGTATACCAAGTTTGAAGAAAATACAGTAAGAATTGCGCCCTGTAGGCGACACAAAGACACACGAAAAGAAAATGGGCGTGGCTCTGCCCCTGGGGGTTGGGCATGCACCCCAAACGATAGGGATGTTCCTTAGGGTACAAAGAATGTGTATGCAAAGTTTCAAGATTATTAGTTAAGAAATGTGGCCTGTAGACGACAAACAAACAAATACTAGAAATGGGCGTGGCTCTGCCCCGGGGGGTCGGGCATGCACCAAAAACAATAGGGATCTTCCTTGGGGTATAAGGAATAAGTATACCAAGTTTGAAGAAAATCCATGAAGAATTGCGCCCTGTAGGCGAACCACAGACACACACACACACACACACACACACACACACACACACACACACACACACATACATACATACACACACACACACACACAGACAGGGGCGACGGCATAATACGTTCACATTATGAATGTGGACGTATAAAAATGGACTAATCCGACAATATCGTTCAATTTGGACTTCTTGCGTATCTCACCAAATATAATGGATTAGAAATTACAATATATATTTCAGAAATTCTAACTAATATTTTCATTACATTAATATGTCCTTTTAGCCCCAATTTCGTCTATATAAGGCAACAAAGAATAGAGCCATACGCCTTTAAAAATCCCCAAATTCACTTTATGATATAAGTATGAAATGGAATACTATGGAATATGCTGACAGTCTTAAGATTTGGAGCTACTTCAAAATTACATGTGTTTACTTAACAATGCCAGGAATTCAATGCCAAATTACAGTAAACGTTTAAAATCATTAAATGTCATTGATGAATCCCTTGCAATCAACAATATTGTAAAAGTAATATCAAACTAAAAACCGTTCAATTCCATTCAGTATTTAAAAAGATATGATAAATTGTTTTTAAAAAATGTAAATATCAGTTAATCAAATTTTCGTAGCTGTATTGGGGAAAAGAGCCTCCTAATTTTACCATGGTAACATGACACTTTAAGAATTCATGCACTGATGATATGACTCGGCATAATTTTAGATTTAAATACTCAAAAACTATTTTGATAACAAAGATCCTAACTTCATTAGACTTCCTACATATTTATCAATAAAAAATACATATTTCTTTTTATTTCATTAAAAATCAACGTTAAAATAGCAGAGACGAATGTCGAAGCGTCCCATAGCAACCGCTTCAAGACAATGAAAGAAACAAATCTCCAGAAATTAATTGAGGAAACCAAGTCCAAAGCAACTAATGATCAGCATTTGATATTGACACTAAACGACAAACCAATACAGTAAATTGCTAAATAGTAAATAATAATAAAAAAAACACAAAGGAGCTATCAATCAAAGACATATATTAAATTTACTAAAGATGTAATAAAATTGGTATTTCAATATTATGAGAGTGTAATTTGGTTCGAATATATACATCTTAAAACAAACATGCTAATATATATCAAAAATAAAAATGCAAGCAACGATTGTAAATTAAAGGTGTTCTGAGTTATTTACACCCTATTTTAAACATTGTTATTGTAATTTATAATTATTTACACGAACAGTCCTAATTCAACGACAGTCATTTACGTCTGATTAGTCCATTTTACACGGGATTCTTTTAATTATTTTTTTGTCGTTCGTGTATCAGCCATTTGTAATTACTGCTGTGTTTTCTTTTGGGACATATTTTCCTTTTTTCATTACAAATTGCTCCCAAAACAATTATATCCGTAGAATACACGACTCGTGTACGTATTTTAAAATGCCTACCGTGTCCTAATAGTTGACAAGGTAACAGCATCAATATTTATTTAAATGGATCGAAATTGAATTTTAATGCGTGTTTTTAATTTCAAATATTATTGATGGAGCTTTAGTTCATATAAATCGAGGCTAGTCCACGTTTATAATGCGAACACATAAAAGAACCCTTTGCCTTTCAAATTTAGCTCCTTTAATTAATCAAGGAATCATATTTACATTTGCGAAAATGTTGAAGGAACCTCAAGCAATGTTGCTTTTGGAGTAGATTTTAAAACCTACATGTGTTTCCATATAGAAGCCTTATTTAAATTTCATTGGCACTGTTCTTTGAATTGTGACATTTGACCTGGGTGCTAATATTACAGTAACGTTAACCAGCATACTAAGATATAACACTAATAAAATACTACCATAACATAAAAACTTTAATCTTAACACTGGATTTAAAACAAACCAGCCAGTCGACACGGATATAGCAGTAGAGTATCTTTACTTACATTGACCAAACCTAATGAATGAACGTGTTCTATGTACAGTAGCCTGGACGATTAACACAGATACAATGGTCGTGACGTCGACAGAAGATTAATGAGAAGATGGCGACATGAAATCAATAGAAAGAATTATGAACTTTGGATGGAAATAATAATGTTTTTGTTTATGAATAATTATTTTAGATAAGACGATTGCTTATTGTGTATAACCTAAAGGTCTATAGATGCCGTTTATTATGTAATGTTGGGTCCTTACAAGGTGAAATCTATCGGGTGGCTCTGGTAATGTGTTGAGACTAACCTTATAGTGTTTTAGTAGGACGTGATTTCCTAATTCACGTGTTAACAAATCTCCAAATGTTATTAGTTATTGATTAAGGGCCCCAAGAAGAAAAATACCCCAACAGTGAGCATAGGTTGAGATTTAATGTTTTTCTGGTCTTGATGTCGAGATGATGTCACAACTTAACTCATCAACACTTGTGCGTGTTAAAATGTACGCATCCATGCTCCACACAATTCAGCTCTTTTACAGCCATATAACGACTTTTCATCACCTAATAATACATTCTACACTAGATATCACTTGTCTGATAAACTTCATAATCTTGGTCATTCAAAAAGGAATTACTTTTTTTATTTTCAAAGAACAGGTAATTTTTTTTATTAAAAGTAACTACTTTCTTATTAAAAATGAACTATTTTTATTTAATTGACCTTGATGGAAACACTGGGTCAATATAAATTAAGGTCTTTGCAATGGTTGAATTGCTGTCAAAAAATGGTGTATCACTACGCCGTAATGTAATCAGGTTCAGTAAAAGAGAAATCTATAGCAAAGAATTATATTTATTTATTTGTGAATGTAAGGAAGGATTGGGTGATAAATAAAATCTCCTACTCGTCTTTTTTTATATCAAAACATATCAACACTCGTCGATAAAGTAAAAATAAAAGACTCGGCAGAGCCTCGTTTTTTTACTTTATTGACTTGTGTTGATATTTTTTTATATAAAAAAAGACTCGTAGGAGATTCTCTATTTATCAATGACACGATATTATAAGATGATGATGTTATATGTTGTATTTTATACCAGTAAATATTGTAGATGATGTTATATATACTATTCAAAAAAGTAGGGGATATTTGATTTTTAAGTGTTATTAAAGTCACCTAATGAAACTGACGAAGAAACAAATGACAAAATGAAATGAAGTTCACATTCATCGATTTATTCCAAATGATCGTTAGACTAAGTAAGGCACAGACTGACCATTATAAGGGTAAAATGATACCCGGGGTCAAACAGCAAAGTTACCACAGCATCACAACCAAGTCAGTAACGGGTAAATCCTCCTCTGTTTGCCAAACAAGCATTGATCCGACGTGGCATACTCCTAATGAGACGTCTAAGGTCATTTTGGTCCAGATTGTCCCATTCCTGTTGCAACGCAGCAGCAAGTTCTTGGACATTGGCAGGACGTTGTTGACGTTGACGTAACCTCTGTCCAAGCATGTCCCAGACATGCTCGATGGGGGAGAGGTCGGGACTCAGTGCTGGCCAAGGTAATGTGGTGATGTTCTGTTGTTGGAGGTAACCTGTAACGATCCTGGCCCTGTGACATCTTGCGTTGTCATCCTGGAAGATGAAACGGCGGCCATGACGTCGTGCGAACGGCACAACATGGACTGCCAAGATGTTGTCCCGGCAGTACTGGCCTGTAACACGCCCTGCAACAACATGTAAAGCCGTTCTTCCAGCAACAGTGATGCCTCCCCACACCATAACAGAACCACCCCCAAATCGATCATGTCTGACGCCACACCCTCCTACGTCTGTCCAAAAAATCAACAGTGAACCTTGACTCATCTGAAAACATCACATTGCTCCAGCGTCGATTATCCCAGTGTTGACGATCCCTACACCAACGACGTCTTGCCTGAATGTGATGATTTCTCAAACAAGGGATCACGCGAGGACGTCGGGCGCGAAGGTGACCCCTATGCAGTCGATTCCGAATCGTCTGGCCACTCACTCTCACACCAGTGTCTGTTTGAAGACGAGCGCTGATCTGATTTGCTGTGATGACACGATTTCTCAAGGCCAAGGTACGGATAAATCGATCCTGGGCTTGAGTTGTCGCCCTTGGTCGACCTGAGCGTGGTCTGTCCTGTACAGATTGTGTATCACGGTATCTGGACCATAGCCTGCTTATGACAGACTGAGAAACATTCATCGTCCGCGCCACAACCGCCTGTGTTGTGCCGATCTGTAGTATGCCAAGGGCACGTAACCTTTCATTTTGGGTAAGCCGACGCATATCAAAATTTGTTTTCTGGTCACTAAAACAATTAAACTGATGTTTCCACCCTGGAATTCAATACCACAATGACTGTAACATTCAAAGTCAGAGTCGTGCAAATCTTGGGTTGGACCCCCATGATGATCCCAAGCATCACCTGCATTCCATGCGGTAGCTATTGGTGCGTTTGGGCGTCACATGTAACTGGAAATGTTTCTTCTGTTAGGTTCTATAGTGACTTTTTTCGTAGTCATTTGCATATTTTAGTATTATGCCCCCAAAATCAAATATCCCCTACTTTTTTTGAATAGTATATGTTATATTGTATATTTTATCAGTAAATATTGTTGATGATGTTATATGTTGTATTTTATCAGTGATGTTATATATCATATCTTACCAGAAAATATTTGAACTTCGCACAGCGTAACCACCTCATTATTAACACTGATAAAAACAGTTCTAGCTGATATAGATTGTTGTTGATCACAGCTTTCTATATTATATATAGACTGGGCTGTTGGTGATGTATCATTATGACATGATGTAGCTGAATTAAATCCTGACTCATTGCACTGATCACCAGGACTTATCTTTATCTCAAATCCACTCAATCTTTCTTGAACTGTAAAATATAAAATATTCTTTATAACCTCTGTTACCCTCTTCAAACCTATACCAAATCAAAACCATTGCTAAAAAAATTATATAGGATGTTGTATAACAATTTACATTATTGCAATATCTTGTACATGTTAAACAACATAACAAATTGATCGTAGGGCCTATATTTGAGCGTCAATGAAACAAGCACACTTCTCGCAGCGTTCCATTTCAATAGATCTAATCCCATCCAACCACTGCCGCAATGAAAGCCAATTTCTGTTCCAAATTATGACTGGTCAATAGTCCGATTAACAACCAATGACTAACTGCGTAACAATGTCATTCGGGTTTAAACAGAGCTTCACACTTTTTACATAACGTTACGTCATGACTTAAGAAATTTTTACGCATAATTAACCAGTGCATATCAGAATATTGCAAAAAAAAAACCTAATTGCGTGAAAAACGAGACTATCAACGGTTACATTGTAAACAATACTATTATCACCGTTTTTAATACCTTAAATCACTGTCCGAAGTTTTAGGGAAGACCTCAGACTAAACGAAGGGTTGTCATGCTGCTGTATTGAAATATCATATATCATATAACTCAAATATCATAAGTCAATCCAGCAATGGAACAAACAGTTTTGAATTTTTTTTTAGAATCATTTTATGACTGTGGAGGACTAGTTTAAATTATCGTTTCAGTAAGAGAGCGGGTTTGGACACTTATCCTTCTTCGCGTTATTCCAGCATGAACTGATAAAAACTAAAATTGTCACGTCTTTATTAATGGGGCATTCCAGAAGACACTAATGCAGTAATCCGTTATGTTTGTTTCCAATTAATAAGGTAAATATTAACTGTATGAAATAATGATACAACGTTATTCAATAATTCCTAATAAAACTGACGATACAAGAACAAAGTAATGTGGTACAAAGAAGGACTCGCAAGCCAAATACCCACTCAATCACCAGGATTCCACTCTCCACAGACACGACAAACACGTTGCCCCATTACAGGGATCCTTTTAGTCGCCTCTTACGGCACGCAGGAAATACGAAGGATATATTCATATCATCCATTCCATCCCAGAGGGGTAATATTGTTTCACGGAAACAAGTTCTGAAACATGCCCTTTTGTTAAAAGTTAATATTGCATAACAATCATGGGCTGTAGTTAGGTTGTTTCAGGATGTTTCTCTACACTTACATCTATCTCTGTTAAATAATTTGATGCTGTCAATATTATAAATCTGTTGTAGATCAACACACCACCAGTCACTACCAGTGTTATCGGCTGTATGTGTACAGTGTCCATCCTCCCAATGATTATCAGTATTACCATCTACAGCATGATATGCTAAAGATATAGTGTCCTTGACATTTTCTTCAGTATAGGTTGAACTTTGTTTGGTTGGTTTATTATAAGCCACGTTAGTAACTGTAAATATATCATATTTATAATAATGAATATCTACGTGTCTTATTTTGAATAAAGCAATATATATTTACCAGTCAAATCAAAAGTGCAGCCAGTATTCTTCTTACAGTTTTATTATTATCAAACCTCCGTCTCCAAGCCACACAGTTAGTAAAACGCACAAATCCTATCTTAACTGGCTAGCCTATTTATATGCAAAATAGTTTCATACGGGTTTCGGTAATGCCGGGGGAATGGGGGGGGGGGGGCGCCAATAGCCCAAAATCAGACCAATGTGATACTTTTATCGCTGGAATCACAATTATATTACATAACGATCACCTGGACCCCCTAGTTTAAACAATACTTATAAGGTCGCTATTTAATTAATTAACTTTACTCTTAGAAGCCGAAATGTTGCAAAACCGGCGTTGACGTTGTAGTGCATTACCCGAAATGTCGGTTTTGTGGCCGTTTAGCGTTTGCCCCGGGTCTGTTGTAAATAACGACTTGCTTTTACTTCTTTACATTTCAATTTTGTCAAATATTTTGACGAATTGTGTGTTTTAGATGACTAGATGCAACGGATGCATTAGATCTTATGGCGAAGATATTTATGGGTCGAATTACGGCAATGGAAGCGATTTTGAAAGTGAATATGCCTTAGATTCAGACGAAAATAACAAAGAAAATTACGGGGATGATAACACTCGTACTTGCAATCAATCTGTAAAAATATTGATCCACATGGTCGGTGATAAAAATATTGGAATAGGGCATGGTCGCGATATTAGCAGAGTTCAAAACTGTTGGTGTGATTGGCACTCCTACGTTATGGATCGAAGATAAACTAAATTAAATTTTCTGATTAAATATCTTTATTCCATCATTTCACACAATTATAATTAATTTATATAATATTAAATTCACACCTAACATTTCAATTAAAATGACGTCATTTTTGCAAAATATTGCTGTAAAGTCAGGGTAGAGTATGTGTCATCCAAAATATTTTCAGGGTTCAAAGGGTTAAAAATGGAGAAGCGAGGCTAAGTCTCGAATAACAAGTACCGTTGTTACGCTAATAAACAATCAATACACAAATCTTGCCAAAACTTCAAACGGCTATAATGTCGCTCAGAAGTAATTTCCTATTTTTAAATTATTATTATACAGAGAACTGCCAGCTCGTTATCTAAATCTTACATAAAGTATCTTTAAAGAAAACAAAAAATAATACCTGAACAAACACCACATGACCTCATACAGGTCTGTCTATTTGCATCATCTATAGGATATTTGGTGGTATCACATGATTGACAGGTGCTGTTGATATCTTTACAGACATCTAATGCTGTTCAACAAAAGTGTGAATAAATTATGTAATTTTTTAGGGATGTATTAATATCTCTAGAATTTGTATTCAGCAGCCACCCAAGCGAATTTTGACTGCTTAATATGAGTCTCAGTGTTTGTCAGTGCTGATATCAAGGAAACTTTTACGCATCGATGTATCCTCAGTAAACATTTATGCAACGGTGGGGTAATTAATTGTTAATCACAGGATTCGCGAATGGGAAACTATGGGGTGATGTCAACAATGACCGATGAACAGGCGGTGCCTCGTTATATTATGACTAAAATGGTGACCGCTGCGCGAGTTAAAGGGGTTATCGTTTATGAAAGAGGTTAAACCAAAGAATTTCTACTAGGAGAATTTATCGTGACCGCTTACAAGGAGATGTAGCGTTGAGTAGGAGTGGCTGCTCGTACAGATTCTACTGTATCTATCTAATGATGTAAACACTGTAATCAATGATAAATAAATGGTTGTTATTAACTTGGATTTTGATAAGACTTATATCAAACTATTATAAAGCCTATCTTTCAATACATATACTTACCTAATATAGTGATGCTATACATATACTTACCTAATACAATGATTCTATACATATACTTACCTAATATCGTGATGCTACATACTTACCTAATATAGTGTTGCAATACATATACTTACCTAATTTAGTGATGCTATACATATACTTACCTAATAATACGGTGATGCTATACATATACTTACCTAATATAGTGATGCTATACATATACTTACCTAATATAGTGATGCTATATATATATATACTTACCTAATATAGTGATGCTATACACATACTTACCTAATATAGTGATACTATACATATACTTACCTAATATAGTGTGTATTACAGTCGTTAAAATTATAACTTTGGACAAATAAGAGAAAATCATATTGCATCTTCAACCTAAAAAAAAATTATAAATACGTTCAAATTGTGACGTCGATGCGCAATTGTCCAAGGAACAAGCATGACAAGTTTTATGTCGATCGTACATGAATTGGTGGAGATACAGGGAAGCAATGGGCTACAACTGGACTGTATGATTAGAAATTGTGATGAATAGTACGATAATTCATTTATGACCAATCCACCCCAACAGACGAGATTTTCTAATAATTCTACATTTTATTACATATAAGATAATTTATCGTTCATTAATTGAGTATGTTAGTGTATTTAGAAATAAAACATGGGAGAGAGAGAGAGAGGGGGGGATTTACCGTCAACTCGACACAAACTATATCATTTTTGGACTAACAGATGGTTCAATTTTATTTCAATAATTCGCTGCCGCGTATGGGTCTTTATCAGTGGAAGGAAACTGGAGTACCCTGGGAAAATCCACAAGGCTGCACAGGCGATCCTACAAGCTGGGAATCGAAAACACGGCACTTGATTCAATGAAAGACCTTATGATAAATAACCTATCGACCAAATCCCCGAAACATACACTAACATCAACGTGAATACAGTTTTAATATACAGATCAAGCAAATGTTTTGTAGCCTTTTTTTAAACTGATTTTCATCATAAAGGTACTGTGGTTGCTACGCTGATTTAAAAAATTTCAACATATGAGGTAGTGGTTACAACATAGACAAACATCAGGGCCTTATTTTCTCCTCAGTCATATCGGCCGTTGTTATAGCGCGATCCATCAGCCCTTTATCTAAATCTTACATAATGCATCTTTAATTATTCGGATCTAGATATTCCCTTTGGGGTATTACAGCTTCTAGGATACTACATATACAGAGCTTTTTTTCTTATGAAAAATTATTATACATCGTCTTCCTAATCAAAAGGGGAAGGGTGGGGTGGGGACCTATCGTTAAGCCAACTGGTGTGGTTTCGATTCCCTGGTTGTACGTGACAAGGAGTAGGGTCGCCTGTCCAACCTCGTGGGTTTCCTCCGGGTCCTCCAACTGCTAAAGACCCATACGCGCAAGCGTATTACTGAAATAAAATTGATGCATATCTTAGTCCCGAATTCAAATGAATGAGTAGGGTCGCTTGTCCAACCTCGTGGGTTTTCTCCGGGTCTTCCGGTTTCATCCAACTACTATACTAAAGACCCCTACGCTCAAGCGAATTATTGAAATAAAATTGAACCATAAGTTAGTTTGTGTCGAGTGAACGTTAAACCCTATTTCTCGCTCTCGCTTTCTCTCTCTCCCCTAATCACAAGATGGCTTCAAATGAATTATTAAAAGAACGTTGAACGTATTGACATGAGTAAACACACAATTTGATAATAACAGTATTTAACCCACTGTTACAGAATAAAAACTTTACTTAACCAAATAGAAGCCTTTATGATACAAAATATAAAGTAACTTTTAACGTGACTTGCATATTTCACTACTTAATATACACGCTCCAGTGATATTAAACGTGCCGCTTTGATTTCAATAGGTGAACAAGAATATAGACTCAAATACTATACCTGTCTTCTCTAATATTATAAATTATACATGTTGACTAAATAGGATATCAAAGAAATTACTGAGGCATTGTGTAAGGCTGTGAGAAACTCCCACAATTGATCTAAATTTTAAATCAGTAGGGTGTTCTATATAAATTAGACCTGATCTGTTATTCTTTATTTCATTCTGTATTTGTGTGCTTGTATGTACTTTAGGTAACCCATAAAAAATATAACGTTCTTGGCTCAAAGTTATTCCAATAATCTTGTTCTTTTTCGCTGATACATGTACTTTGACTTTCGATAAATTTAGATATCATTTCTTTAATTGACTAAATAGGATTTCTTAGTAATTTTCAATAACTGGTAGGAGACCCTCGAACCTAGGGAAAAAAATCCGAAACAAACAATTTTTGGGGGTTTTTTTTGGGTGGGGGGGTGAGGAGGTATGTATAGGAAAACAAATCCACCGCGTTCTACTTATTAAGTTAGTAACGTGTATTTAATCGCTTTTATTCATTGATCTGAAGATAAATCTAGCTACATTATAAATATTTTGTCATTGTCAACTATTCAGTTGAATGCATCTCGGACCTTTGTTATCAATCAAAAAGACGACGTAATATAATAATATTATATTACACAATGATAAAGCTTTTTATCTGCTGTAAGCTTGGAGTTTTAATGGGATATTATATTTCATTGCTTGTCTAATTGAGTTATTGTGAGTTTAGTCAAAAGATATTCACTATTATTAACGGATGGTGACATATTCTAGCATATATAGCAATGACTGAAATGACTGAATAGAAAACTAAGACACTGGGCCCTTATTCACGAAAACTTAAACTAAGATAAAGTCGAAATTTTAAGAAATACTGCAACTTCGAATTGCAGTATTTCTTAAAATTTCGATTTTATCTTGCGATTTCGTTTTTTGAGGTTAATTGGTAATAATCAGAAAATCGTGCTTGTGATTACAACTTCTATTCCTATTATTCACAAAATCCATCAACTCCACTGTCTTTGATAATTTCATTCGAACAGGTACTCCGTGGAAGTCAACCCTTACATATCAGGCTGGTAAGAGAAATTCAAAAATACGCGAACCGGGAAAAAATCCGAAACAAATGATTCTTGTTTTTTTATGAAAGGTACACTTGCATACAACTTCAGGGAAACAATCCACCAAAATTGGCCTTGGGCACAAAAAGTAACGTTGCAGTTTTGGTACAAATCTTCACACTTTTCTTCACATTTGTCGGTACGCTGACAATATATTTGTGTATCACAAATGCTTTTCCACTCTATTTGACCATCAACAATACGATTATCGTCAGATTTTGGCCCATTGTCTCACGACAAATTGCCCACAAATCGGTTAAGAAGGGGCGCAAACGCAAAAGAGGAGGATATACAGTTCACAGAAGTACTAAAGGTCTGAAAAACTTAATTGTATGGAGCGAAGAAAGAGGTAACAACAATTTGTCGTTAATCCCCCGGACAAAATGGACACGTAAAGTGATGATACATCTCATTTCAGCTGATGCAACCTGTAGAAATGACTACACATTAATGACAAGCGAATAGAACTGACGAAAAAGCAGAAAGCAACAATGCATTGTGATGAAGCAGGACCTAGTCCTATGAAATTTTGATCTGGGTAAGGATCATTTGAATGGGAGAGAGAGAGAGAGAAATAAGGCTTAACGTCCACTCGCCAAAGACTAGGCCATTCCGGAACTAACATATGGTTCAATTTTATTTCAATAATTCGCTTGTGCGTTAGGGTCTTTAACAGTGATGCGACAATACATGATGCAATGACAACTATAACTGGTCGCTACTATTCCACAAGCCTACAACATGCCGAAATTGGAAAAGTCCGCCGGATGAAAGATCAAAGATCGCGTGAAAAATGGCTTCCTAGATGGAGTTCAATGACCCGTTTCACCGTTCTGTTCTTACATTGTACAATCCTTGCCGAACGACACAATGTGGATGCTTTTCCATTCTTCGCCCATGAAATGAAACCCGTTCCGACCAGTTTGATCTAGGGAGGTGAGAGAGAGAGAGAGAGTTTAACGTCCACTCGACACAAACTAGGTCATTTCGGGACTAACATAGGGTTCAATTTTATTTCAACAATTCGCTTGCGCGTAGGGATCTTTAGCAGTGGAGTGGGAAGAAACCGGGATACGTGGAGAAAACCCATGAGGTTGGACAGGCAACCCTACTCCTTGTCACGTACAACCGGCATAGAGTGAGGTTTCGGTTGCAAAACTATGGGGTTGCTTATTTCATGGGCTAGAATAGCAGAAAAACGGATTTGTGGAGGTTAAATTTTCTCGGTTAGCGCGAGTCCCCCATACTCCCGACGATTGAATGGTTGTTTGGGATTATTGTAAGTCATTGGAATACATTTAAGTTGCTGTATTCACGGGCTGGAATAGCAGGAAAATGCATTTGCGGCAGATAAATTTTCAAACATTTATTGAGCTCGTACGCCTTTGCATCACGGGACTATTTTACATATAAATTTATCTGATATTTCTAGATATGTTGGTAAGAGGACACTGGTGATACGTGAAACACCCTTCATAAAAAGGCTTTTGGTCATCAAAACATTTATAACTCACGTCATAATCCAAATGTATAAAAAATGAATTTATTTATCGTTGATGTTATACATACGTATTCAATTTCACACATCGTCTTCTTTATATTATACATGTATATTGACATACTTTAACAAGGACGTTACTCAAATATCTATTTTATTTTTACACATGTGACTGCGTTAAGGAGCATAAAAGGTCTGTCTATTCATTTTATTCGTGCAAACCAGTGAGGTGTTACAATAGTTGCATAGCAATAGGATAGGTTCCCACTATCACGAACGCGTTTGCGGCCGTCAAACTTTCCAAATTTTCTCCTTTTTACTTCGAAAAGGGGCGGGGGTCCTGTACGATAAGCTCCGCGCCTTCGTCCCTGTTAGACGACCCGCACCGTCGTCTGCATTGTAGGTTCTGCCCTCTAACATTCATCGAGCCCGTACGCCTATGTGAGTCTTTGCTATAAGAAATACCAAGTGATGGTACCGATTGCCAAAACGATTGAACCTAAAGGATGACCACCGACTGAGAGGGCAGCATACTATCATTCGTTACGTGTCCACTATCAAATTATTTTATGGGATAAACTTGACAATTCATATCTAGATTCTCTACATTGGGGATGTCCAATTTAGGGGCAGTTTTTCAGTCCAGTTATGACCAACATCGCTGTGGCAAATGATAACATTCTAAAGTTCATAAGATGTACCTGTAAACTTAGTTGTAACAGTAACGCCTGGTCGTAGAAAACGGATTAAAATGTGTTCCTGCGTGTAGTGAATACGAAGGACTATCTTGTAACAATAGACTAGAGAAGTCTTTTGGTCTTTAAACCGTGGCACCGAGTAGCTGAACTCAAATTT